GCTGGCGCTGGGCAGCTGGGAGCCGCAGCCAGCCTGGAGCAACACTCCTGTCCAGACAGTGGGGGGTCACTGTCCCATGAGGCTGTACCCAAACAGAGAGCTCAGGAATGTGCCTTTTCCTTTTCTCCAGTGAGAGGCGAAGGCACAGGCTCGGGGGCGAGGCAGGTGCAGCCTCCTCCTAGCTGAGCAGAGACAGAGCTTCTCGGAGCCCCGTGCTCCGCTGTGTGTGTTGGTATTAGCACCCCTTGCCCCACTGCTCTCGCCAGCTCTGCCCAGTGAGGTTAGAGGCGCTGGGCTCAGGGGAGATTGACACAGAGCTTTCCTTCTGGGTAAATGAGGGATTGCCCAGAGCAGAGTAAGCATGGAAGCTTCTGCAGCTTGAGAGGCAAACGCTTAGATTCAGCTTGGTCTGGAGGGAAGGGAGTGGACTGATTCTTTTCGACACTTGGAGACCCCCAACTCGTCATATCCCAAATCAGTATCTATGAGAGCGGGTCAGTGTGACGGGAGAGACCACCAGGCCTCAGAACGGAGGTCCCCACCTGGAAGCGGGGTCCAGACCGGGGAAACTGGCTTGATACAAAGATCTAGCAGTTCCAAGGAGGGGCTCAATTTGGTACTTGTGTGGTGAGGCCGAGATCCCTGAGGGATAATCCTAGAGCCCAAGGGTGGGACACACGACTTTGCTGGGGTCACAAGTCAGGTCAGCGAGGGCGTCAAGGTGCAGTGGCAGATGACCCCTCGAGCACACGTGTGACACTCGCCAAAGAGCACGGAATACCCCCCTGCTGCCTCCTCAGGGGGGTGGTCTCTGGAAGCCCCCTTGGGGTGGCTAGGCCCTGGAGAACTTGGGGGAACCCAAGGCAGGAGGCCTCAAGAAGGAGACGCCGATGGCCTCTTGGTCCAGCTTTCTTAATCATCATGTGGGCGCTCCAGTCATTCACAGGAAAAGGGGGGCTTGCGATCCAAGCTGGTGGTAGGGCTCCTTAATAAGACAGGCACTAAAGACACTTTGCAGGAGGTTGTGTGGATTAAAGACTGTGAAGAGCGTTCAGTTCTTAGCAGAACTATAGCTCCTAGTAATGGCTCTGTGGGCGGTGACTGTCCTTCTATCATTACTAGTACTGGTCCTGTCACTGGCCTTAGGCCATGGGCCACCGGGAGAGCACCCAGGGGCAGTGGGCCTCTGAGCGAGTGGCCATGATATCCAAGAAACAGAAGCCTGTACCCTGGCGCTGAAGTCCTTACAGCTGTGTGAACTCCAGGCTTCAGTTTCAGTGGCTATCAAAACAGGGCTAATGATGAGAGGCACACTGACATTAAAGCTAATGCAATTTTAGCTCCAAGGCCCCTTCCAAGGGTGCCCGGCACTAGAAGGATACACAGAGAATAGAGGTGGAACTGCTTTCAAAATATCTGGAACATTTTTTCAATCTTAGAGCTTATCGATGAAAGGAACTTGATAGACGCTTTCCCAAATTTGACCGTAATCTTAAAATTCACATGAAATGACCAACAGTGAGTTGTGGAACTGAAAGAAAAATTTTAAGTTTCTAACCAAAACAGAAAGTAAATTGTAGATCCAACTTGCTAGAGGAAAAGACTGGATTCCTCTCTCTTCTCCTTATTGGAAATATTGGTATGAAAAGGCAATTAAGGAGCCTGCAGCCAATGGTGTGGAGGGAGCAGTATTATTATAAGGGCGAGCGAGTTGGTTAATTAATAAAAAATGAAGTTATTTGTTAACGGCTTTTGTGGTGTTTTGGGGTTTTTTTAAGAATTCCTTTTTAAAGATTCTTTGATGTGGACCATTTTTTTAAAGTCTTTATTGAATTTGTTACAATATTGCTTCTGTTTTCTGTTTCTGTTTTTTGGCCACGAGGCATGTGGGATCTTAGCTCCCGACCAGGGATCGAACCCGCACCCCCTGCACTGGAAGGCGAAGTCTCAACCACTGGGCTCCCAGGGAAGTCCCTTTTGTGGTGTTGCTGGAGTTAGCCTAAAATGTATATTTTGTTACGATTTCTCTCTTCATGCTAGATAAATAGTCACCTTTGTACCTAAGTTTATTTCATAATCTGGGGTACTTTTATCTTAAAGAGGGTCCCTAAAATTATAGAATCTTCTGGTCCCACAAAGCCAGGATCTGCCCATGTTAATAACACCACCTGCTTTTGACATAATGCTATGGAAAAGTACTCCACATATGTTGCCCAGCTACGTGGAGAGGAGCTTCCGAGGGGTTTCTGAAAAGAGACAGGGGCCACTGAGAAGACAGATAAAATGGGAAAACTCAGCCTCGTGAAAAGACAGTGGGCAATAAATGGAAGCAAGAAGAAAAGAATCAAAAGAGGCAGGTGGAGTCAAGTCTGGGGTTGACAGCTGAAGAAACCAAGTTTGAAGTTGGTAAGGGAGACACCCAGCCAAGTTCCTGAGAGCATAGCAGGAAGGTGGCCCGGGGAATAGGGTTGATGAGGCCTATTTCAGGGGCCTCACCTGTTTCCCAACAAGCAGCCTCACTCAGACCAGGCAGATGTGGTTCTTGATAGAAGATGACACATACTCTCTGAGGAACCTGAGACAGGCCAACCAGAGTCCATTGTGCTGGGGGAAAACGAAGAGCAGGTTATGATGTGGGACCCATGTCAAAAGTCTGCCCCTTTCCCTTACGGCCTGTGTCTTCATGCCCCTAATTGAGGAAGGCATCCTGGCTGGGAAGCCTCGGGCCTCCGTGAGGAAGGGAGAGCAAGAAGCTTCATGAAACACGAAGTTCCCTGAACTCGTATGCGGAGCCGTCTTTTGGAATTCCCATCTGGCTCTCGCCTTGCACTTCCTTTCTGCAGATAAAACTGCAGGAGCCCCGGGGAGGCCAGAAGGGTCGGTGGGATCCACTGTGTCTGGGTGAGAGTCCCGGGCAGAACGTCTTCTCGGCTGGTCCTGAAGGGAGGTGGCTTTGCGGGCACTGCCATCTGCTGCTGTGCAGGGGACAGGGCAGAGGAGGGAGGGGAGTAGGAGGGGAGCCAGATGTGCAAACAGGGCTGCGTGTGTAAGAAACATCTGCTTTGTTTTCCAGAACGCGTGGCTCAGCCTTGAAGGGTGGGCTCTGCTCTCTGGCGCCCTCTGCTGTGGCTGAGCAGAGCGGATACCCCCGTGGGTCGGGGCAGGAGTGGAAATTTGGACACCGCTTACCTGGGCTGAAGGGGTTTAGGAGATCCGATACACGGTTGCCCAGGGCCGGGGGGTTGTAAAACGTGAGTAGAATGGATCCGTGGAAGGTAAGCTCAGTCATCCACACTGAGCCACACCCTTCATTTGTGCCGTGCTGTTGGGAGTTGCAGAACTGTACTTGTCAGGGGAGGAATGGACGAGTCCAACCTCATTTACTAGCAAGAAATGTATCCCAGAAAACCCAGTCCAACCTCATTTACCAGCAAGAAATGTATCTCAGAAAACACACACTGCAGGAAAGGTACAGCCTTCAGAAGCACAGGAAATGCGAGAGAGTAAAGGTTGCAGGGGGCCGGGGGGAGCCTTCACCTCTCTTCCGGATTATCCGTGACGGACTCATATAAGTTAAGAGTTTAGAAGCTGCTGGATTCAAATACCGTAGATTATAAATGGATGGAGGGGTGGGGGGAGAGTAACGTATTATTCTGGGAAGAGCATGTTCCTAAAGTATAAAGGATGTGGACAAGGAGGTAAAATGTTGAGAAAAGATGGTGGGCGTGAAAATCAAAAACTGGAAAACCAACCTAAAACTTCAGCATGTCCTTAAAGTAACCAACACCTCCTCTGGGGTGTGGCCCTCCTGGCAGCCTCCACTGTGACCAAGTTGTACGCTAGTCAGACTGACCTTCAGGGAACTGGGGCCAGGTCCCAAGGGAAGGGCCAGTGCACTGATTCTGGTCAGCAGGTGGGTGGAGGTGTGTGAAAGGCAATGATAAATGACGTTTGGCCTTTGCTTCCAACTAGAAAATCTCCCCGCAGAGCTCGGGAGGCCGCTACCGATCAATGACGTCAGCTTTGCAAGAGGTGATCTCCGAACCATCCTGGGTTTGTCATTAATTCATGTATAAAATGGCAAACCCCTCCTCCCATGTCCTCACATTTCCTGTCTCCCTTATCCTATTTTATATTTCTTATGATCGCCTGAAATGCTGTGCATTCATCAGCTCACTGTCTGATGTAACTGTCCCCAGAACATAACTCCGCGCAGCGGGATTTTGTCTTTTGTCCTCTGCCGTATCTCTGGTCTGAGAACAATGCCTGGCGCCCAGTAGGGGCTCCATAAATATCAGTAGGAAGTAGGAGAGAGAGAACCGAAGACAAGGAGATGCATCTTTATAAAGAATGTTTCAATTTATTACTTTAAACCTGAACCTGCATAAAATGATGGCTAGCTGCATTTAGCTCAAAGCATCCCCATGACATGAACTGGAGACAAGCCCAGGTCTGGACCTTTGTTCACCATTGGGTCCAGAGGCCACAGCAATCAGCCACGGAACTTAATTTGCATCCACTGAGGCTGTGACGGTGATGCAGAGGGTTTTCTCAGGGTGATGGTGGGAAGGGGGGTGGTGATCGCTTATGATGGGGCTGAAACAGGGCCCGGACTGTGCTTCTCATGGCCCGCGGCCACCGAAATTCGGGGACGGTATCTGAGGGGGCGCAGGGCAGGGCTCGAGGTGCCTGGGACTCTGGGCTGGAGAGACCCAATTCTTTCACCAGTGGATGCAAAAGGGGGTACCAATCGCCCAAAGGATACAGCTCAAAAGAGGACCTAAAAGAAACCCAAGCTTGAAGTTTCTGAGAAGCAGCATCATTCTCTTTCCTCCTGCGCCCATCCTCTGCCTCCTGTCTCTAACCTCTGTCCACGCGCACACACACACAACACGCACACACGCACACACGCCCTTTTCACGAACCCCTCAGGCCAGATCCTGTGGAAGGACGGACACCGCACCCATGCGGGTGCGCAGCCCCGTGCCGGTCTCAGCTGCTCACACACTGGTGTGCTGGGACCCCGGGGACGTGCTGCTGCCCGGCTGGCTCCGGCCCGAGGGCACGGGGCTGGCGGCCGGGCTGCCCCCACTGCGCCGGCTGGCGCCCTGGCTCCCCCAGGCAGGCTCCTCCGTCGGCCTGAGCGTCTCCTGCTCCTCTTTCAGGACGAAGTCCACAAACAGGCTCTTTCCCCTCTTGACCTGGTCACTGATGTCGGTGGAGATGTCAGGGATCACCCGATCCACAAGGACGCTCAGGAACATCACCAGGTTCTTGGAGAGCCAGAAGCGGGTGGTGAGAGAAGAGGCTGGGCGGGAGGCCTCCACCGCCCCGGCGCAGGCGGGGTGGGCAGTGGTGAGGGCACAGACCCCAGACCCGGGGGGAGAGGGGGCCTCTGGCTTCCTCTGGCTCCTCGGCCGACTAGCGGGTGATCTCAGCCAACGCGCTTCACTGTCCCTTGGGGTCCCCGGGTGAAAGTGGAGCAGGGACAGCGCCCATCTCCCAGAGCACCCCTCCCATGCACGGCCAGACAGTGGGAACTGGCTTCTTCCCCTCCGCCCCGCTGCCCCCACGTGTCCTGTTCTTGCCTCCAGGATCCGGGCTCCAGAGCTTTCAAGAAAGCAGCCGTAACGCCCATCGGCCCCTGCAGGGCTCTCCCTGAACCATCCGCCCCTCTCTTCTTCCCAGCTGTCCCTCCGTCCCCATATCGGAGGTGGACCCTTGGTTTCTGCACTGACTTCCGACCCCAGCCAACCCCACGCTCTGGTCTCACCGCCTGCCTGGGCCCTGCCTCAAAGGGCCTGCACCGGTTCTGAGGTTTTGTGCACATCTGTAAGTGCCTTCCTTCCCCCCAGTAAGCCACCTCCCCTCCCGTAGTGTAGGATAAGACCCTCCCTTCCTGGGAGCGTTTTCTATTTAAGTGGATGGATACGTTCTGCAGTGCCAGCACTGCCCGCTGAAGGGCAGCTTCCCGTATGCTCTGGCTCCCAGGCCTTCCGCAGGCTGCCCCTCACCCTCCAGCTGTAGTTTCCTCTGCCTGCCCATCTTATGCTCGCACGCCCCCTCCCCTTAGACCTGGAGGACAGTGACAGCCCAAGAGATATCAGAGCCCTGCCATCTGTCTTCCACGCTCTGAACCCACCCCCAGCTCAACCTTGAACCCTGCGTGCTCCCAGGGCCCAGGGAAGACTTGGGAACTAAGGGCTGCTCCCGGAGGCTGCCGCGTGCCATAAGTGATCTGGAGCTGCTTGGTCAAGTCAGACGCTGGCCTTTTAAACCAAGTCCTCTCGGGGAGTGAAAGTGACATGTGACACGCGGCAAAGTCAGGAGGGCTTCTGCAGGCGGGGCAGCCGGGGGACAAGTGAGGATCCGGCACACGCATCGCCTCAGCTCCTCTCCAGGGGAAGCAAGACTAACTGGGGGCCTTCGTCAGTTCCTGGGCTGGGGGCGGCGGGCAGGGTAGCTTAGAGCCCTCAGGGACCTGCCTTCAGGGAATACAAAAGCCTGGGGGTAGGGGTGGCGACCGGAAAGGGATCTGGACTGGTGCCCCAGCCCTGCCCCAAGGCTGGCAGGACCCCAGTGGGAACGGGGCCCTCGAGCCTGGAGAATCTCGGCGACGCAACTGTAGCTTCGGCTATTGTGGGAGACAGGAATCGTCAGCTCCGGTGTGCTATTCACCCGGGGCCGCCGGGGGGGCTCTGGGGGCTTCCCACCAGGTGTCTCGGGGGCCGAAACAGCACAATAAAGGAGGGGCGAGAGCTGGAAGAAAGGGTCAGAACTCAAGGCCTTTCTTGGGTGCGGAGACCAGGCGGGACGGTCTGTCTGCCTTCGAGGTGAGGCTCTGGTCTCCCCTGCTGTTCCCCACTTTCTGGTCTTAGGTTTAAATGTGAATCAATCTCCACCCTGCACCTTACTCCACATCTGTCTTGTAACCTTACTCTGTGCTTTATCCTCCTTCTGCAAATCCATCCGTTAATGAAAGCCCTCACCCAGGGAAGGGTCTCAGGGCTGCCCGCTGCACGCAAAGGCCCCCGAGTCACAGAGCGCTCTGAAAACCCGGAGACGGGGCCATCTGTACCCCTGCAGCCCGGATCCTGACCCGCTGTGACTTATCTGAACAACTCACCTGGAAGATTATGAAAAAAGCCAGACGGGCAGACAGAACGGACCAGTACTGCTTGGAAAACTCATATGGGTTCGGGGCCCAGGGCGGCTCCCGGTAATCCTTAAACCTGTGCAGAGAGAAAGGCCATGTGAAGACTGGGAGGAAATGCAGGGAAGGAGCTACTTATCTGGCGCAGCCTCAAAGGTCAAGGCAGCAGGCAAAGCCCTGGCTCTCAGACTCGGGGGCGTAGGAGGCAGAGGTGAGGAGTCCACGGCCCAGCCATCAACGTCCAAAAAAGGGCCAGAGTCCAGAAAAGCCAACATCAGCCTAAAAGCGGCTTTCTTACTCTCTCCGACATCCCCAGAAGCTTCCTCTGGATTCTCCTTCCAGAGGAGCCCAGGAATCATGAGAGGAGCCCAGGACTACGAAGCCATCCTGGCTCCACTAGCCTGTGGGCTCTGAGGGGGCGGGGAGACCCCCGGACACCGCGTACATTGCTCCGCAGCCCGGGGCTCAGCGAAAACGCAGGTGCCAGCAGACGGTCAAGGGTGTCCTCCCCAGCCGGCTGCCTATGAGAGGGGCCACAGCCTCGCTTGATGGCTGATTCAGAGCAAGCTGGAGACCGAGTGAATTCTGGGAGGAGGTCAGTGGTTCAGAGTCTCGGGTGGGCAACATCCCCTCTCACCAGCCATCTTTATCACCTGCCCATGTGGTTTAAGAAATAAAATGGCAGCGCCGGACGTAAGCTCAGACCATGGTGAAGTCTAGGGCTTGTCCGAGCTGTTGCCTTCCCCCCACCCCCATCTTGGGATGACTCATGTTAAAAACGGCTTATTTTCTCAGACTCCCTTTTTTTCTAAGCCTGGAAAAATAACAAGAGTTGGTGCAGAAGAATTATGCCCCTTCACGGAACTGTTTTCTCCATGGAATTCAACAAAGCTTCGAGGCTCAGTAAAAGCAAAACAAGCCCTGGGCTGAAGCAAGAGGTGGGGTGGCATCAGGCCACCAAGCGGGGTGCACGGCTGCCGAGGAAGGCGGGGAGGGAGCTCTGTCTCAGGAGGGGCCCAGAAGGGGAACAAGCATAGACTGAACGTGCAGCGTGCGTCCATCCCCAAGCAAGGGGCTTTTCTGGAGGTCTCCTCATTTCACAACAAGATCCTCAGGAAGGCAATGGATATCCCTGTATAACCCAGGAGGAAACTGAGGCTCAGAGAAGTTCAATGATTGGCCAGCAAGGGGTGGAGTCAAGGTGAGAATCCAAGTCTGCCTGAATCTGGGCTTTTCTCCTATTGTCGGAAAGCTCCTGACTACCAGCTGCTGTTTGGGGTAGGGGATTCAGCAGTGGGGGCTCTCTGAACCCTCCCCTGTACCGGATGAACCCGCTGCTCTAAAAGATCCACATAGAAGCACAGTGGCTTTCGATGGCCCAAGAAGACAAAAGGGGAGAAGAGAAAAAAAACCAGAGGAAGATGAAAAGAGATGCAGGGCAAAAGGCAGAAGAAATCGTAGTGGGAAGAGCCAGCCGCAGAAAGAGGCAAGCGGAGAGGTGGGTGCTGAGCGCTGGACTAGGGCTGGGCAAGAGGCCAGGAGCTGCCCCCTCCTCACCCGGTTCCTCTCTTCCAACAGCTGATCGCAGCTGCTGCAGGCCTGGTTTGTCATCCGGATGAAATGCAAAGCTAACTACAACCCAGCTAAACACCATGGGGCTCATCCTCTCCATCCTCGGCTGAGGACAGAAACACAGCCAGCTCCAGACCACGCCCGCTCATGGGAGAGAGGGAGGGTGTGGCCAAGGGAATAAGGACATTTGGTTGGGAAAAGTACTCAGGCTCGCCCACCCTCCTGCTGTCCCCCCAAAACCCCACGGCAGAAGGGAATTTATCTTGCTTTTCTCAAGACCTCTGGAGGAGGGGTGATACACGCCCCCCCCCCTACTTTTCACGTTGAGGAAATCCCTCCCCAGGTCTAGCCCAATCCCTGCTGCTGCAATCAAAGTCCGTTCCCCTTGTTTTCTAGCTCCATCAATGAAGGAACAGCTGCTCACTGACCTCAGTATGACAGCCATTGCTCAGCCCTCTTTTTTTTTTTCCTCCAGTCTGCAAAGAATCCATAAATAATCTAATTCTGGTCCCACTTCTGCTACTAACTCACTACAGCTTTTGGAAATGTCACTTTGCCCTCCCTGAGTGTCCAAAACATGTTTTGAATCTGGCAGGCACATCCATCTAATCAAGGATCTGGGGAAAGATTAACACACAGATACGTCCAGAAAAGCTCAACTTGCAATGCGTCTGTGCCAATGGCCTAAGGGTGCTTTGTCAGTAACTAAAGGGCAAAGCTATGCCCAGAAAACAGCAACACGCAATTTAATGAATTATACATCTGTTCACATTTCTCTTTTCAAAGCTCACTTTAAAAAAAAAACAACTGTGACCTGGAGTAAGCAATGCATTTTACATTAGTGCACACGTACACATATATCACAGAAATAAAAATCACACACACACACACACACAAAACATACTCATCCTTGCTGTGTGCTGTGCACTGATAGTTTCTTGTTCTCTGCTATCCTCTACTCTCCTAGTCTTTAAAATGCTGGTCATGACCCACTAAAGTGATTTCCTAACTCACTGATGAATTCATGGTTTGAAAAACACTGATTCCAGTAAGCCTCTGCCACCAGGTAAATGATTGCTTATTTACATTCCAATATAGGCTCAGATTTCAGAATTAAAAAAAAAAAAATGCATCCTAAGAAGTCAAGCGTATCAAATGTTTCTGAGTAATCAGAAGACACTCATTAAACAAAGAGATCATTAGTTTTAAGACTAGAAATGTCCAGAAAAGACAGGGTGGCTAGTGGACTTAATTGTGGCCAGCCTGGTGACAGCTGTCTGTCTATTTCGCTTCCAAGCCTAGAGCAGAGAACGGCATTGGCAAAAGTGTGGGCTTTGGAGTCAGCAGGTGAAGGCCTGATCCCACCCCCACTATTTCAGTTCTCCGTCCTCTAGACAGTCACCCAAAGATCTGATGGCCGGGATCCTCGTCCATGAAATGTGGACTTTGCACCTCACAAAGCTGTAAAGAAGACCACTCAGCATACTACCAGACACATCAGAGGACTCAATAAATGTTCTTCCTCCTTTAACCGAAGGTGACTTCAGAAATACGCGTCTTCTGTTAAAAGAAGATGGAGCATACACATCCCTGCTCCCAGTTCCCCGGCTTTCCAGGAGGATTTCTGAGCACTCAAGCTCGGATGCTCCGAATTTCCCAAGATGCTGAGATGAATAAAAAAGAGAAAGCCAATGCCCAACTGCAGGGGGCTTCTCTCAGGCTCCAGGTCCAGGTAAATGGCACAAAGCAGGGAAGCCTCAGGCTGATGGGAAGGAGAACTTCTGCTCCATTCCCATTAGCTCAAATGCTTTCCAAAGCATACCCTTTCCCCCGGTTTTGAGAGCTCTGGCTCTCCCAAAGTCCCACTGGGTGGTCAAGCACTGGGTGAACCCCACATCTGGTCACTTCCTGCATCTGCTGGCTGGGACTGAAGCTCGGGGATATAATTTTAGGCACGGTTCCCAGATCTCACCCTCATCCCTCAGTCTTCCTTTATTTTCTTTGAGCCTTAACATTGAGTTTGAGAGTTCCCTGTAGTCTTGTAATAAGGAGAGTCTTCCAATAAAGAAACGACTAGAGGGTCTAAAAAGCATGTCTGCACTGGAGTGGCTGGGCCACTTACTAACTGTAGGAAGCCGAGAACGTTATTCCACATCCCTGGACCTCAGCGTTCTAATTCACACGGAGCCAGCAAAATGTGCATCACTTTGCCGAGTATATAGTAGGTGCACGCGCGAGAGCCCTCTCGGCCCACCACGAGCAAATGAGCACACGCGCGTGTGTGTACGTGTGTGTGCACTGAACATTAAAGGGAAACACAGTGAGCAGTAAAGAAGACAGCACACGTTGAGTGTAATTTCTGGAGGCAGAAATGGACACAATGGTTTCTTCTGGGAGAGAATGACTGGGCTAGGGGCTGAGAAGAGGGGCTTTTCCTTTTATATGTATATACACACACGTATACACACACATATGCATATACACACATACATTATATAGAATTACTTTTACAATAAAAAGTTCATCATTTCAAAAGAAGGATGCAAGTAATGGTACCACTCGGTTGACTCCAATATATCTTTATACTAAGCTTCCAGGAGCAAAGTTATAGTATTAAGTGAGGCAGACTCACATACGATAAGTAAAAGTGGTACAAAAATCAACACTTTCTCAGCTTTAAAACCGCATTCATATTTTACCTAGATTGTTCTAACCCTATGAAATAATCACACTGACAGCTCTAAAACTGCATTTAAAACTGCATTCATATTTTACCTAGATTGTTCTAACTCTATGAAATAATCACATTGAGTTGAATTTATACACTACCTAAAGAAACAAGGTTCCTATTAACTCAAAATACATTTCATTATTATAAAACGAGTCCGTGAAACATCTTAAAGGTTCTATAAATTCATTTTTATGTTAATCCATGGAACAATGTCTGAGAAAGAGTCATATAAATGTGTCGCCGTGGCCACCGCTGGGAAGATGCCTAGGGCTGGGCAGGGCTGAGTGGAGGTGGGACAGAGTTGGAGAGGTTGCCTGTAATGTTTAGAATTTTTGCAGGAATAAAGTAATGTATTACATGTGTCATTCACTATTATATTTTTACACTAAGTATAAAGGAAGCTTTGGAGATTATTTATTCCAAGTCCCCACTTCTACAGATGGGGAAACTGAGGTGCACAGTGGGAAGAGAGACTCCTGGCTCAGACATCCCTTCCCATCCTCACTTGCAGGGGTGACCAGTGACAGTGAAACTGGCCACAATTCATCACAGTACAGAATCACTGCAGGCAGGCAGGGTGCCAATGTAACAAACCGAGGGGTTGGTCACTGACATTCAGAAATGGCTTTTTTAAAAAAAATGATGTTTTAGTTATAAATGCATGTTTTAGTTATAAATCAATTAGTAAATGCATTTCTCAACTCAAAACAGTGGTATGTAAAAAAAAAAATTTAATACTCCCAGTGGAAAGTAATGTCGTATTAGTGCTGAACACA